AAGCTTCTCCCTACCTGACAGCGTGCCCAGTTCTCCGTGTGGCCCGTGTGTCCACAGAACTAGCACTGGTGCAGAGGCCATTTCTCTCCCCTCCAACAGGGGTCCCAGGCTCCGCTTGCCATCCATCCAGGGTAGGGTTTGTGGGGAGGAGGGTCATTACCACAGAGAAGCCCACTTTCCTCCGCCCTTGCCTACCCTCCTAGTGCAGAGCTGTGTCCTTTGCTTTGTGTCTGGTCCCCTCCTCACTTCCATCCAAGGTGGGATTGTTGGGGAGTGGAGGGGAGGGTTTTTATATTATATGCTACAATGCCCTCAGACAGGCCCTGTGTGTGCAGCCCCCACTCCCATGCACAGGCAGGGTCTCCCATTCAACAGAGTCTCCTGCCCCTCAATGGACATCTTCGCAGGCCTAGCAGCTGCAAAGCCCAGCTCTAGGTGGGCTGCAGGCCACTTCCCCTGCCCTGTCCTTGGCAAAGGGAGAGCTCAGCAGCCAGAGTGACAGGCGAGAAGCCACCACCCAAACTCTGACAAGGTGACCCGCATGCCTCCCCACCAAACAGACAGGAGAGAGGAGGGGCCCAGGACTCTGGTTTGGGAATATTTATTATTTAAAAACATCACCCGTGTGCTTTCCCAGGGGCGGAAGAGTCACTGCTGATCTCCTGGAGAAGAAGGGGCGTTCCAGCCCCCAGCTCCAGGGCCCTGCACCTCTGCCGACTGAGCGCCCTGCCCAGCCTGACCAGTAGCCCAAGCGGAGGCCCAGGCAGAAGCAGGCCAGAGTTGCCCTCGAAGCCAGCCCCGAGGCAAGCTGCTGCAGCCTCTGGCCCAGGTAGTCCCCACGCGTTCACAGCTGAAGCCGGCAGCCAGACTCAGCCCACAGGCATGGTCGGCGTCCACTGGCACACTCCCCATGTGTCAAATGTGTCAGACACGTTTCCTCAGAGTTCGGAGCCCCACAGGCGGTTTTAGTTCCATCCCCCCTTTCACAAGGAGCTGAGTCTCAGCAAGGCTGGGGTGCATTCAGTGTCTGAGAGCTGGTATTTGGGATTCAGGTGGCCGCTCCAGGGTCCTCTCCCGGTTGTGTGTGGGGGGGGGGGGGGGGCGGGGGGCGGGGGCGGTGGTTAGGTGTGGGCAGAGCAGGGTCCGGGTGTCGGGAGCAGCAACGAGGTCCTCCGCAGGGCACTCTTTCAACTTTTGGTGTATTTGGCTGGCGCCTTGGGTGGCTCGTGCTGTCGGGTTCTGTAGGTTCCGTTGCCGGCCTGGGCATCTGTCCCTTGCTTCCAATGGGGGCTGACCGTGAGCGGGCCGTCCCTCCTACAGCCAAATGCACAGTCCAAGCCCTGCAAGATCCAGGCGTATCTCCAAGGTCCAGGCAGAGGCTTAACCTGGGCAAACACCTCCAGAAGCCCCCACCGTCCGCTGCGCGGAGTCTTCAATCCTGCCTCGGCTTCTAGCGCTCCCGCGGACGCACGCTCCAGCCTCGCTGTGAGCTCTCCTGCGTCTCCAACACCCGGTGGGGCTTCTGGCTCGCACCGGCTGCGGTCCGTGCCTGGACTGGCGCCGGCCTCGGGGGCGTCAGGGAGACCAGCCCGGGGCACGCTTGCCTGCTGAGGGCTTGCCGCTGTCGCACTCGCTGAAGCTGGGCGCCTCCAAACTCACTTTCGTTTGTTCTTTGCAAAGATCGTAATTGTGGGGATGGCGCCTCCGCCGCCGCGAAGCTGAGCGGGCAAGGAGCCGGGTGGGAGGATGCGGAGGAGAGGCCTCCAGCCCTCGGGGCGAGGACTCGGGGAGGTGCACGCGCGGAGCATGGGCGTGGTGATCAATGGCGGAGTCAGCGGAGAGCCCTGCGTGGGCTTCCGCCTGAAGCCCCTTCCCTGTGGAGAGGGGTGGGTGGCCGGGGCTCCGGGGGTTGGGGGGCGTGCAGGCAGGGCAGAGAGGCTTATTCGTGGTTTTGACTTAGTAAGTCACAGCGCTTTCTTACATCGTCCAAACTCTCCAGGAGATGGTTACTCTAGGCCCCCAAATTATCGTGGTGGTCACCGTGGCTGAACCCGAGTCCCAGTCCAACGTACTGAGGACGGGGGTCCATTACGCAGATATTCTGGGTGGGCCCCAAAGGCGAGTCGCTTAGACGCACCCCAGTGAGCCCGGTCATGCAGACTGGATATGAGCGTGTTTCCCGCCTTGCTTTTCTCTCTCCCCGGACACTCGCAGCCTCACAGGCCCCATGCCCGGCAAATTCGGACCTGGCCCGGCCAGTTCCCGGGTACCACACCTGGCGGCGACCGCGGCTATTCTCCGGCTGCCCGCACCTGCGCGTGCTCTGGCTCCCGCTGCTGCACGCCTGGGGACTAACCCCCTCCTCCGCAATTCTCAGCGAGAGTTGGGGATCCCCCAGCCACACCAAGCCACCTGCACCCTCACTCTGACAGGTCGCCCCCACCGCGTAGGCCCCCGGCGGTGCCGCTGGGGACTGGGACACCGTCCACCCTGCTCACCTCTGCCCTCCCGTCACCTCTAGCCACACACCCGCGCAGGGATCCTGACACTCCAGAACCCGAGATGGGACCCCTGAAACTTTACAACAGCGATTTGGGATTTCTTGCACACTCTGCCGCTCCCAATCCAGTCTGGTGCCCGCGCACCCCACAGAGCCCCACCCCTCGTCGTCTCTCAGTCTTCCCGGCGGAAGCCCAGGCCTCCCTTCCCCTGGCTCGAGTTGCCGAGGTGCTCCGGGCAAGGGCCAGGCGGGCGCACATTGGCAGGGTCCCCAGTGGGTCCTTAGCAGGCTCGTGCCTTCCCCGGTGGCCCGGCTATGAGAGCTGGGTGCTCTCTGGCACAGCTGCTAGAGGCCAGGCCGCCTGGACCCCCTTCCAGCCCCATTTAAGTTTACTAGTAAAGTTTGGTTAATGATTACAATGCATCCTACAGCCTTCGGGAGATATAGGGGTAGGGGCAGGGAAAGAATGAATGTTTTCTAGACCACTGGCAATTTTTAAGCTATTCATTTTTAAAATCAGTACTTTTCAATGAAAACTTGACCAAAAGTTTGTCACAGAATTTTGAGGCCCCTTAAAACAAAGTTTAATGAGAAAAAAGAAAAGAGAATCTTAAAAGTAGCAAGAGAAAAGCAGCTGGATACATGCAAGGGAACACCCACAAAACTATCAGCTCATTTTCAGAGTAAACTTTGCACTCAAGAAGGAAACAGCATAATTGACTCAAAAAGATAAATAGAAAGAAATCTACAATCAAGAAAATTCCACCCAACAAAATTATTCAGAATAAAAGGAAAGATTTTTAAAATTCCCAAATAAAAAAATCTCAATGATAAAAGTAAACATTTTGTGCCCTGGCTGAGTGGCTTAGTTGGTTGGACATTGTCCAGCAAAGCTCAAGGTCAGCAGTTTGACCCCCACACGGTGCACAGACCTAGGTTGCTGGTGGATCCCCAGTAGGAGTTTGTACAGGCGGCAACGAATTGATGTTTCTCTCTCACACGGATGTGTGTGTCTCTCTCTCTACCTTCCTCTCTCTCTGAAATCAATAAAACATATCCTCAAGTGAGGATTTAAAATAATAATAAATAAATGAATAAAGCAAACATTTTGTACAATAGTAGACCAACTAATTACAAAGCTACTACAATGGTTAAGGCATCAGTATTAAAATCAGGGTTGTCTAAATAATTAAGGGGTAAGCACAAAAATATAAAATTCAGTACTATAAATGTAATGTGTAGGGAGAGTATAAGTGTAGTGATTTTAAAGTGGTGTGACATAAAACATAGGTTGTACCCTGGCTGGTGTGACTCGGTGGACTGGGTGCTGGCTTGAGAACCATGGAGTTGCCAGTTAGACTCCAGCTCAGGGCACACACTTGGGTTGCCAGCCCGCCTGGGTTGGGGGTGCACGAGAGGCAGCCATGCCTTGATGTTTCTCTCCTTCTCTTTCTCCCTCCCTTCCCTTCTCTCTAAAAACAAATAAATAAAATCTTTAAAAAAAACATAGGTTGTCATACATGAAGCTCATAGTAACCACAACAAAAAACTTATAGTACAAATAAAAATAAAAAAGAAATGTATCCAAATATAACACTAAAGAAAGTCATCAATGCCAGAGAGAAAAAAACAAGAGGCAAAATAAAAGAAAGAGTAACTATAAAAACAACCAGGAAACACTTAGTATTGTACAACGGTAACACACACATATCTATCAATAATTACTTTAAACACACTGGTAAGTACACTAAATGTCAAATAATAAGTCCTGAGGTGGCTGAAGGGATGAAGATAAAATGAGACCCAAACAGAGCTGCTTGCAAAGATTCACTTCAGATCTAAAGACACGGACTAAACATGAAGGCACAGAAAAAGATGTGTCAAACAAATAAAAAGGAAAAGAAAGCTGGGGTAGCAATGCTTATATCAGACATAAAAGACTTTAAAACTAAAACTTTAACAAGGGACAAAGGACATTACATAATGATAAAGGTATTACTTTAACAAGAGGATATAACACTTGTAAATATCTATGCACCCAACATAGGAACACTTACATGTAAAGAAAAAATTAACAGATGTAAAGGGAGATAGTCACACTATAGCAATGATAGATGAATAAACCTAAGAAAGCTATTAAATCAATGGATAGATAATCCAGACACAAAGTTAACACGGAAAACTCAGCCCAAATGACACATTAAACAGGTGGACTCGACAGATGTTGCGGAACATCCCATCCACAGACAGCAGAACACATTCTCTTCAAGTGCACACAAAGCATTCCACAGAGTGAATCACATGTTCTGCCACAAAACAAGTTTCAATAAATTTAAGACTGAAATCATATCAAGCATCTTTTCTGACCACAATGGTCTGAAACCAGAAATCAATCACAAGAAGAAAACTAGGCCCCGGCTGGAGCTGGGCACCAGGGGAGGAGCAGCGCGGGAGCCGGTGCCCACAGCGGGAGGGGGGGAGATGATGAGGAGCGACCTCGATGGTTCAATTCCTGTCTAAAGAGAGCATGCGGACCAGCAGCCCTGCTCAGGGCTCTGGCACCCAGGTCTTGGCGCTGGGCTTCGTGTGCTCAATCCTCAGAGCGCTCCTGTTGCTGCAAGTGGTGCTGGGGCTCTTGGTGTGGGCCCTGATTGCCGACACCTTCTACCACCTGTGCCCAGCCCACGGCTGGGTGATGATGCTCCTTGCTGTCTTCCTCTGGCTGGTGACCATCATCTTCGTCCTCTACCTGTTTCGGCTGCACATGAAGTTGTACATGGTGCCCTGGCCGCCGGTGTTAATGATATTTAACATGAGCAACACCGTTCTCTACATCACAGCCTTCATCACTGGTTTCGCTGAGGTTGAGCAGACGTCACTGAAAGGCGCCTGGCCTTATAAGCAGCAGGAAGCTGCCTCCTTCTCTGCCTATTCAGTGGTGATTGCCTGTGGAGTGAGTGCTTTCTTCAGCTTCCAGGCCTGGCGAGGAGTAGGCAGCAATGCAGCCACTAGTCAGATGGCTGGCGGCTATGCCTGAACCAGCTGTGCCAAGACCCACCTCGGGGGCTGCAGGCTGCGGCCGGGGCACAGTGCAGGGTGGCCCTCTGGGTCAGCCCAGAAGGGACTGCACTTGCTTCTCTCTGACCATCAGACTTGGGCTCACCCAACACTCCTGGGGAATCAGGGTCCTACCTCTGGTTTGGCTGAAGTGAGCATGTGCATGGGTTGGAACTAGGCTCACAGCCGAGACCTCCTTCTGCTGATCCCCCTCATTCAGCAGAAGGAGACAGGGCATATGGGGCTCACTGTCCCTGCTTTGTCTTTAAAGGACTTCAGTGTCCAAGGCAGGGCCCCCGCTTCTCAGCAGCACTAAATACACTAACAAGGACCTAGACCCTGACCCACCACAGAATAAGCCTGTCAAGCAATGTGTAGTTATGTCATCATGGTCTTTGGTCCGGGAGTGTTGAGCAAGCTCATGAAACCATTCTGATTCCTTAAAACACAACTCCGACCTGACCCTCCCCCAGACCAACATGTTCTTTCTAGGGAGACATTTTTGACAACATGGCCTTCCTTTCCTATACCTCACACATGCCACTTCGAAAGCAAATTGGTTTTAAGCAACTTCTCAATGATGAAAGCCCATCTCAAAGGCTTCCCTCCCTTCCCCAATCCTGTCTGTAATAGTCCTTTGGGGAAAGCTAAGGTCAGTACCCACTGCTTCCCTGACACTGTCGATTAGGCATGTGGGACATGAGGGGAGGGCATCAAGACCTCACTTGGCGAGTTGTCATGTCCTTGATGACCATTGTCTTTGTTTTTTTGTGTTTTGTTTTGGTTTATTACAAAAATAAAGATAGAAGAACCTTAAAAAAAGAAGAACACTAGAAAAAACATGAACACGTGAGGGAAAACAGCATGCTACTGTTGGGGGCAAAACGGCACCAGGTGTTAGTGGAGTCAGACGGGACCTCGGTTCGCCAGCCTTGGTACTTGAGTTCTGGCTAAGAAAGAATTCAGAGGCAGGACTCAAACTGTAAGATTAAGTTCATTTAGAAAGTCACAGAGGCCCTGGCCAGGCGGCTCAGTTGGTTGGAGCATCGTCCCATACAGCAAAAAATGTTGTCGGTTTGATTCGGGTCAGGGTACCTACCTAGGTTGTGGGTTCGATCCCTGATCAGGGCATGTGCAGGAGGCAACTGATGTTTCTCCCTCTCCCTTCTCTCTCTCTCTAAAATCAGTAAACATATCCTCAGGTGAAGATTAAGTTAATAATAATTATTATTATTTAAAAAGTCACAGAGGTAGAAGAAGCAAGCCATAGATGAAATGGGCTCAGGAAACAAGCTACAAAGGCAAAAAGGCCTTTGGAGCAAGAAAGGTAAAGGTAACTCTCCTTGTCAGAGGGCAGAGGGCCGGGAGAGGTGCAGGCTTATAGGTACTCAGGAAGGCCTAAGGGCTATTAAGGGTGAGGATTTTAGGGATGGTCCCAGAGGAGGATCTCATTAGAATATTTATCAGCTCTCCAGGTGTGTACTTTCCTGATTGTCTCTACTGATTGATCAAGCTGGGGTGGGAGGGTCATTAGTCAATGCAGCTGATCCTGAGGTCAGCCACGGAGTCACTGTCTGGTTTTCTGGGCCTGGAGCCGAAACACAACTGAGGCCTAGATGTATCTGATGTGGGTCAAAACCTCATTATCCTGGAGACTTAATGCTAAGGGCTATTCTCCAGCTCCCTTGTTTGTTCCCCTATAAAGGGTGTCTAACCCAAATGACTACCAACATGCCAGGGAAAGAAAGGTCAGGGGAGGGACTAAACTGCATTACCAGCAATATGCTAGGGAAGGAAAGGTTGCCCTGGGGGCGAGGTCCTTGCTTTCCCACTTTTGTGCCTTGCTAGGCACCCAGGGCTTCCTGCCCTGTTGACCTTCTGTACCTGGTCCATTGTCCTTGCTCTGCTCACATCCGTCTAACTGCCTCCCACACAAAGACCTGTTGGACCTTATTCTCACCTGTGAAGAGAGTGTACTGCCAGATAGTTCAAGATCTGAATTCCAGAGAGCAGACCTGCTCAACAGTGATGTCCAGGACAACCACAAAGAGCCTTAGTCGATGTTTCCATCCCCAGGGCATTCCTCATCTGTGAACTCTGCCAGTGCATTCAGCACATGAAGGACAGGGAGAATGAGATCCAGGAGCTGCTGCAGGAGTTGGATAAGAGTGGCAAGACTTTCCTGCACACCTCTGCCGCTGCTGAGCAGAGGCCGGTGCTTCCTGAAACCCCCTTCTTGCACATACTCCTGTTACTACTTTTTCCTTCCTGACCCTTGTTTTGACTCAGTGGACAGCTGCTGGTGGACAGCAGCCTCACTCATACACCACATGTAGAAGATGAGAAGACAGACATAAGTGCAGACCCAGGACAATCAAGTACTGTATCCCATTGTTACTTACAAGTGTGAAATTGTTTTGTTTTGTTTTTTAACCAAAAAAGAAAAAACCCTAATCCTACAGTGTGTAGATTATATGTGCTAAGTTAGGCACAACAACGCTGAAGTGCATGGCAAAGAAGGATGTTAAAACATTACCATCACCCTGGCTGTTGTGGCTCAGTGGATTGAGTGCGGGCCTGCAAACCGAAAGGTCACTGGTTTGATTCCCAGTCAGGGCACATGCCTGGGTGGCAGACCAGGACCTGGGTGGCAGACCAGGACCTGGGTTGGGAGTGTGCAAGAGGCAACTGAATAATGTATCTCTAGAACCTCTCGCACATCAATGTTTCTCTTCCTCCCTTCCCCTCTAAAATAAATAAAATCTTTAAAAAAATTAGCATAAAAATGTATTGTGAGAAGTAAAGGCTGTTTATAATAATGGTCTAGTGTTTCTCCTTTGCTAGGTTTACGTTTCCTCACAATTTACCTAAACATATAGGCCTTGGTAGAAACCTAAAGGAAATATTAAATATATTATGTGGTATATTAAGAAGTGAACTATTGTTTAACTAAGATATTTTATGATAAACTGCATCTAATACTGTAGGAAATACATGTGTTTAGATAAAAGGTAAGAAAAACAAAAGCTGCTGCAGAGGACCAGGAACTGGCCTCATTCTCACTGTAAGGCCAGTCTTGTCTTGTGAAGAGAGAAATGTCATACACCTTCTTCATTAAAGGCAATCATCGACCATGATGCACCACGGTATTTGTAAGCATATTTTGTGCCCATATCATTATAAGTGGTAAAGGATGTGTTTCCAAATCATAACAATGACCAATATTCCCCTCTTTCTACTAATATTACTGACTGAAGTGTCTTACGAATTATCTTTAGCTCCACTGAATTATTTCCCCTTCTAGAAAATGACTATGATTACAACAATAGAATAAAATTTACTTCCTCAGAGCACTCAATACAGGAAAAGTTCTTGCGTCCTTGAATAGCATTCCAATCAACTAAAAGAAGCCAAAATCCTATAAGTGCTTTTGAGCTCATGTTACTGTCATACCTCACAGTCCTTGGAGGTTTGTGGTCATTCTGATTAGAATTCATTATACCTTTTTTTGACTTAGTGCAACCCTGCCAGTTACTGGCAACAGGGCATTGAGAAAACCATGATGTCCATTTTTGGTATTAAGAATGAAAAATAAATTAGTTATATGAAAAAAATTGTAACTATAAAACAATAAAAGATAGCTCTGACCAGTGTGGCTCGACTGGGCATCATCCAGCAAAGCAAAAAGTAGCTGGTTCAATTTCTGGTCAGGGCATATATATGTGTGGGTTACGGCTCATGTGAGAGAAAACCAATTGATGTTTCTCTCCTCTCTTTCTCCCTGCCGTCTCCTCTCTCTAAAAAATAAGTAAATAAAATCTTTACAAGATTTTTTAAGAAAAGAGAAAAAAATAAAATTTGCCTGAGGAAAAAAATACCTGAAATTACATGCACATGATAAAGTTGTCTCATAATGTATACTATATTGAAAATTGCAAACTTCATCTGCAATTCCATAATTATAATGGAACATGTTAATATATAACAAGAACAATATGTTAGCATTCTATGGCTCAAAAAACAGTTAATAAAATATTTCTATGAAGTAACTGCATAAGTGTCAGTGTGAAAAAATAGGCACATGGTTTTAATCACACACAGTCACACATGACTGAAGATGTCCTGAGGGGTTCCATGCAGCTACAAGTAACTGTAAACACCCACAGCCTCCTGACCAGAGGGAGGTGCTGACTGTCACGTGGAAGCGCTGGGGCAAGGCAGCCACCGCACACGCAGCAGAGAAACACCGCCCCTCATTGCTTTCTGGCGACACCACTGCAGACAACGTGGGCCATCAGGAAAACACACTCACCAGCACTGCTGACAGCAGGTGTTTCCTATACAAACTTATGCTGATATAACCCAGAGAAGAAGAAAATCAGAGATTACTCCCAAGCACAAAAGTCTGAATCAGTTTCCTGGTGAACACAAGAGGGCTTACATCTAACCCACACTCCGATGGGTCTTTGATGTAGATCTTGTGAAGATATCAGAGGAAAACCACACCTCTAAGGAAATGAAAATCAAAGAGTTGAAGTGTAAGAAACCAGCTGGAAGATGGTGTCCTCAAAGCCCCGGTGTATCTCTGTCTCCCCCTGCATGGCGGTGGCTCTAACGTTTGACTAATGTCTTCTTTGCTTCTAGCTTCCAAATCACATGAAGTGAGGCTATTGGTGAATTTTAATATGGAACAAAAAAGAAAATGAATCCTGGGAAACCTACTTTCTAACGCTATCACGAGAGAGAACATCCCCAACTTAGACATTTTGTCCTATCACAGGTCTCTCTTCTTAAATCAATGACTATTTACTGTATACCAGTTGAGAGAAAAAACAAAATTTTAAAATTAAAAATAATAACTCATATGAAACTTTATTCTTTCATAAACTTGACAAACAAAATTTACTTCAACTTTTATAAGGATGGAAAAAGGGGGCTTATACAGTAAGAGAGGAAAACTATATATAATGAACTTATTACTGATTAAGTAATTACAGTTTACCCTTGAACAACAAAAGTTTGAACTGCACAGGTCCACTTATACTGGGATTAAAATATCTGTAAAAAACTGAGAATCTACCCACGCAGAGGACCCACTTAAGTTGTACAATGATACGCTGGATAGTAAGAAAAGAAAGAAGCTTGGTAAACATAATTTACAATTTAAAAAAAAATTTATTGTATTTTTATTACCATTTGGTCCCCTTATATCTACCCCCTACACATAATTTACAATTTTATTATCAACCCTTTAATGTCAAAAAATTTCTAGAAAATTATATGTGAATTAATTTTCATCAAGCCTTCATACATTATTTACATTTTTATATTTGTGTGTGTGGAAGTTCTATATGTAAGGATACAGGCCTGACTAAGCCTTTCCCACACTATTCACATTCGAGAGGTTTGACCCAGCGGGTCCTCTCACTCCTTCAGAGGAGAAATGGCTGAAGGCACTTCCACACGCCTCATATCTGCATAGTTTCCTCAGTTGTGCACACTCTCATCTCATGACTTGGAAGGGTTTGTTAAAAATAAAAGCTTTTCCACACACCTAACACTCACAGGTTTTTCCCCAGTATAAGTTCTTTCATATCATTGTAAGGACCTCTGTTTTCTGTAGGTTTTACCACATTGTTTTCACTCACAGTGTTTCTTTCCAGTGTGAAAACCTTTTATATCTGGGATACAAATTAAGGCAAGTGAGTGCTTTCTCACATTCCTTACATTGAAAAGCTATATGTCAAGTGTGAATTTTCATGTGTCTTTGCAGGGATTTTCGAGAGATAAAGGCTTTACCACAATGTTTACATTCAAAAGGTTTCTCCCCAGTGTGAGTCCGCTCATGCGTTTGTAAGGAACTGTAAGATATGAAGGCCTTTCCACACTCTTTACATTCATAAGGTCTCTCCCCACTGTGAATTCTTTCATGTATTCGAAGATTGCTGGGATATCTGAATGTTTTACTACATTTTTTACACACATAGGGTTCCTCTCCTTTGTGAGTCCTTTTGTGCATTTGTAAAGAACTGGAATATCTGAAGGATTTTCCACATTCCTTACATTTGTAGGGTTTCTCTCATGTGAGTTCTTTCATGTGTTTGTAAGTTACCAGAATATCTGAAAGCTTTCCCACATTCTTTACATTCATAGGGTTTCTCTCCTATGTGAGTCCTTTCATGTGTTTGCAAGGAATTAGAAAACCTAAAGGATTTTCCACATTCCTTACATTCATAGGGTTTTTCTGCAATATGAGTTCTTTCATGTTTTCGAACATAATTGGGAGCACTGAAGGTTTTACCACAATGTTTACATTCATACGGTTTCTCTCCAGTGTGAGTCCTTTCATGTATTTGTAAGGACCTATTATTACTGAAGGCTTTTCCACATTCCTTGCATTCATAGGGTTTCTCTCCTATGTGAGTCCTTTTGTGTGGCTGTAAGGAACTGGGAGATCTGAAGGCCTTCCCACACTCCATACACTCATAGGGTTTTTCTTCAGTGTGAGTTCTTTCATGGATTCGAAGATAACTGGGATACATGAATGCTTTACTACATTTTTTACACTGATAGGGTTTCTCTTCAGTGTGATTTCTTTCATGTCTTTGAAAACTTCTATAACATCTGAAGGTTTTTCCACAGTGTTGACATTGGTAAGGCTTCTCTCCTCTGTGGGTTCTTTCACATATTTGCAATGAAGTTGAAGAACTGAAGGTTTTTGCACACACCTTACATCTGTAAGGAGCATCTGTAGTGTGTGTGATCATGTGTCTCTGAAGGGTTTTGAACCACATGAAGGTTTTCCCACACATTTCCACACATTTATAGGGTTTCTCAACATCGTGATTTTGTTCATGTTTTTCAAAACACTGAAGATACCTGAAAGCTCTCCCACACATGTTACACTTATATGTCTTCCCTCCATATTTCTTATACTCAGAGGGTTTGTGTCCAGTGTGACATGTGATATCCCCATTATGGGATGACTGATCTATGAAGACTTTCCCCCACACACTATATTCCCAGGGTTTTCCTCCAGGAAGAGTTTTCTTCTTCACATTGAGATTTGGAATAAAGCTGACATTTTCCCCACATTGGCTACTTTTTTCACCTTTATGGAGTCTCTCTACCAGGTGACTTCTGTAAAAAACAAGAAGCAAGCACATTATTAATGAGCTGTTTATTAGTGATTTTAAATTTATTAGAATAATTGAACTACATCTTTGTAGCAAAATTGTAGATATTTTGCTTTATCAGTAATGTTTGAAATAGACTACACTGAAAAGTCTGAAAAACAACTTTACCTTACAATTATCAAAACAGTGACACTCATAGGGTTTCTTAATGCTGTTTCCATGTGAACTAGTTTGCAAAAGTAAACACCTATGTCATAAATAAGAAAGTACTTCAGTGAAAATTTTTCAAGAAGTAATTAACTTGAAGCAAGGGTTGTTTTGGTTGCTTCTTTTTAAAATTTTGCAGCAAAACAGGTTTTTCATATGAGACCCTGCTTTCCATGGTGTGACTCACCTTTGTTTTCCTCCCTGGTTTTCATACTGGTCTTCCATAACAACATCTGTCCATTTTTTACCTGTAATGCAGACCCAGAGAAATCACTCCAAAGTATTAGAAATCACAGAAGAATCATAGCTTCTAGATCTATGATGGGCTGTGACCACACCCAGTTTATTTGGCAGTGTCCTTCCTTCCCACATCCCACATCTGAAAACAATGTTGAAGGGTGAGAAATATGTGTCCTGTAATTGAGGAAGTGAAGGTAACTTGTCATCCTTACTGACTGAGGCCAGGTTCCTGAAGGTTTCCCACATCACATCTCTGTAGAGCTTCTTCTGCACAGGCTGCAGTAACACCTACTCCTCCAGACTGAAGCGCACAGCCACATCCTCAAAGGCCACCGAGTCCTGAAACAGCCTGAATATGTTATTTTGGGGACTGACAGCACTGGACACCGAGATCCCATTTATAGGAAGGTTACATGTGATTATATCATCTCTAAACATTTATACTATGAATTAATCATCAAAAATTTACTCTATCAACACTTCATTCCTTCTATAATTAACACCATTATTAACAAGTAAAAATTATCAACACATTTTTCTGTGATCACATTATACCATATTTTTCTCTAACGGCAAGGTTCAGAGCATGCTGGGAAATGACACAAATGACACAAATAAAACTAATATTATTATTTTAAAACCATCAATTCCTTGTGAAAAAAATTCCTTCATTTCTCTCATTATCTATTTACAGTACCCCATAAACTTCATCTGCATGAGGTTTAAATAAATAAAATCATAGTGAAAACTGGAAGCTCTTTTTTCTGACTCCAATACTTGTTTATTGAGCTTTGATTTATTGCACTTGGCAAATATTGCATCTTCATCAGTATGAAGATAAGACCCTCCACCAACAACACATTACAATTCCCTGAAGGCTCAGATGATGGTGAGCAATTTTTTAGCAATAAAATATTTTTTAATTAAGGCATCTACACTGACATTATAGACATAAGGTACTGCACTCTTAACAGACTAAGGTGTATAAATAAAACTTCTTTATACATTGGGAAACAAAAAAAAATTGTACTATTCTTTACTAACTCATGCACTTTATTGCAATGGTCTGTACTATTTCCAAGGTACACCAGCAATCTGAGGCAGCTGGCTGAATAAAATTATTCTTGTGGGGAAGCTCTGCTTTTACCTTGTGTAATATTTATCATAGACTCAGTTCTTGGACCTTGGAGCTCAGATCTTAGGAAGAAGGCAGGACAAGCTAGAACACAAAATCCCTGTACTCCTGTGCCTCCGGGCTGCTGCCAGCCCATTTCTGGCACATATGGGTACACACACTAGACACAAATATACCAGTGTGCTCTTTCTAGCACAATCATAACAGTCAATTTTGGGATGTGCTGACACTGGAACAGGTTCAAAGCCGCAGATCACAAGAGAGTCCATTGATGTCCACAATGGTCTGATGATGAATCTGCCCATGACGGTAAATTACATAAAGATATTTGCAGTGCTTTCCTTCAAAAGAACACAAAGCCTCTATTCCCCAACTAGAAGGACGCTTTTCCTCATCAGCCACTCTAGAGAATGCCCTCCCTTCTTCTTTCATTTCCAAACCCACTTCCCCCAACCCCTGCCCATGGAGTAAAGGAACAAGATAGCTCAACCTAAGCATGGAACTCCCTCAGCTGATGACAGCACACATGGCCAACAGGGAACGAAAGGGCTCGTTACTTCCACAGGTACAGTCTCTGGAGGCAGCAAGCCAGGCATCTCCAGCAGGTATGAAATAGCCTGAGAGAACAGCAGCAAAAAGAAAACTTCACGGACTTGTTTTTTGAGGATAGAAATGCACTAGGGCACAGGGGGCAAACACAAGGCCCATGGGCCAAATCCGGCCCTCCACCTTGTTTTATCCAGCCAGTACCTTGTTTCTTCCCAGCGGCAGCACCGAGCTCTCGCTTAACTGTTAAGGAGTAGTTACATTTATACAGTCCTAAAATTACATTCTGCCCTTTGAGGGCAACCGTGAGGCTGATGTGGCCCCCAGTGAACATGAGTTTGACACCCCTGCACTAGGGTGAGAATTCACACACAAGGGCAGGAGTTTGCATGGATTCAATCTCTTGTGACTACAAGAGGGTGAGCTAAGGTTTTCTTGTCACGTTGTGCAGATGTGGGGCACAAGGGGAAACGGGGGAGATGTGGTTGAAAAGAACAGAAAAAAATCAGTGAAGTAACCTTTCACTAAGATTTTTAAAAATTATAATAGAAAACTGTCAAGTCAGAGAGCTCAAATAACACTAAATATGATAACCAAATATTTCAAATCAAGTAAAAGTCAAAGAGAAACAGAATACATTTAAAAAAGCCAAAGTGGAAAATGCCTTAGTTACCATGAAACAGAGACAAGAATTAAATCAAATTTCTTCCCTGAAACCATTCAAGCAAAAAGAAACTGAAGTAAAATAAAATATTTTTTACACCACTCTTCCAGAATTTTGTGTCAAACAAATCATTCAAAAATAAAGGAAAATAAGGTCTTTCAGCAGCATTCAAAAACTGAGGTATTTGTCATGAGTTCACCTACTTTGAAAGAAAAAATATTCATCAGAAAGAATGTAAATGATGATGTGGTAAATTAGAAAAAGAATTAAGGCATAACAAATATAGTTTGTTTCTTAGCATAATTAGTATAACAGATGAGTTTATTTAAAATAATATAGATTTCAATTTAAAATAATAATAAACAGGGCCATTCTCCAAAAAGGCATAACAATCTTCACATATATGTGTTCAACAACAGAGAAGCAAAATACTCGGGTAAACCTGACAGAATGCAAGCAAAAATGGATGCATCCACTACTATAGTTGTAAACTTCAACAGTCCACATCATGAATAATAAATTCCAGCAGGCATAACACCAAGGACAGAGATCAACTCAATAGGGCCACATAACAACTGGATTTAATTGTAACTTATAAAATACTTCATTCAACAAGAACAGAATTCACATATTTCTCAAGTTCACATGGAACTTTAACCAGAACAGAACAGATCCTGGGACATAAACCACACCTTAACAAATCTGAAAGGACAGAAATTGTACGCAGTATGCCCTTACACCAAAGGCATTAATATAGAAATCAGTAACAGGATGATAATGGGAAACCTCCAAATATGTGAACATTTAACGACACAAGTTCTCAATAACACATGAAATCAAAGAACTTTCAAAACAAAAACACAGTTATTATGAACTACATGAAATAAAAATAAAACATGTCATGTGTCATGGGCTGCAGCAACAGCAGTCCCTGAAAGGTAATTCATGCCGTCAAATGAATATGCTAGGAAAAAATCTATAATTATTAACATGAGCATCCAACTACAAAAAATAAAAAGAAGAATGATTAAATTCAAAGTCAGCAGAATTAAAATATATACATATATATATATACACACATACCATGGAATACTACTCAGCTGTAAGATGAAATACTGCCATTTGTGACAGCATGAATGGACATTGAGAATACTATGCTATGTGAAATAAGTCAGAAAAAGCTAAGAATCATATGATCTCACTCATATATGGGATATAAAAGTGAAACTCATAGACACAGACAACAGTATGGTGGTCACCAGAGGGAAGGGGTTTGGGGATGGCAATAAAGGGTAAAGGGGGTCAAATATGTGGGGATGGATGATGATTTGACTCCAAGTGGGGGGCACACAATGCAATATACAGATCATGTACACTTGAAACCTATCAAATCTTATTAACGAATGTCACTTCAATTAGTTTAAAAAAGAAACAACATTTAGAAAAGAAATCAAGGTAATTGTGTGAAATCAATGAAGAAAAATAAAACAATAAAAGCAACTTGTGAAAATTAATAAAATTGATAAACATCTACTCACAATAACTAACAAAACAGCAAGACAGCTATCACACCCAAGAGGTGTAAGAGACGGTCGCTGAAGCCTGATAACGAAGGAGTTTCTGAGGACGCTACCAGCTGTGCCTTTCGCACAGCAGCGTTCACAGTCTGGAATCTTCAGCGGTACTGGTACTTGTTAAAGGTGGGGCAGTTTGCAAGTAGCAGCATAAATGAGCTCAAGCAAAATTTGTAAATAAGCAATATGTTGTCCCCCAAACACACAGAATCTACACAATGCTCTGGTTGTTGAGAGATACTATACCTATTTCATCATGTTGTCAGGAATGTGGTAGCACTGTATTTATTAAAATCAATTTTTTAAGTGACCCAAGAATCAGGGCCTCATAAGTTTCAGGCAGCGAGCCATCTACTTTTTTTTAGATATGTCAAATGAATGTCCACAAAGGACAACATCACTAATGTCATTGTCATACCTGTGCTCCTGAGGCAAAGAAAAGGCAGTTCAGACCCTGCCTGTGGAGGCTGTCTGTGCTGACAGAGCTGAGGTTCCTTCCCTGAGGGTGACCAGGTCGAGGGATATCCCGTCCCTTCAAGGTGAATCCCCACTGCAGCTGAGAGACTGTTGAAATAGACACTAAACAGAACAGGCTCACCTACAAAATGTGTGCCAATCTGTAATGTGTGGACAGTTAGTAAATTCAGCTGGGTACTGGGTGCAGGGGTTTATTTGGTGTGACCACAGCCTCAAGGGTGAGAGAACCCAGTATGAGGAGTTAGTCTTTCTTTCCAGTACCAAGCACAGGCCAAATTCATCTCTTCAAAGGATAACTGGAGATAATCAAGTCTTCCTAAAATGTTGCTTACAACAGTTTGCAATCCCTGAAGGCCCTGTTTAACTTATACTGGGTCATCTCATTGTACTGAGCAAACGCCACAAAGTCCCATTCTGTGCAGCCACATTGGAAGTGGCAAAGGCATTTAATTTAATTTAAATTCATGAATCATTGCTTAGGAGTTCTCCTGCTTAGTAAGGAATATTTTAGAAGAGTAGGTGTTATAATCATAAGACACGGATGGAACTCAAATGTGTCTTGCAGACAAATGCTATATAATTTCACTTATGTGGGGAACGTAAAAAGAACAAAACCAATCGACAAAACAGAAACAAACTCAGAGACACAGAGAACAAAATGATGATTGCCAGGGAAATGAGGAACAGAGGAATGGGTGGAAAAGATGAAGAGAAATAAGAAGTACAGACTTCTAGTTATATAACAAAGTCACAGGAATTTAATATACAGCACAGGGAATATAGTCAATAATATTATAATAACTTTGAAAGGTGACAGATGGTTACTGACTTATTTGCTGATCAATCCTAAAGTATATAAGTTTTCAATATTATACACCTTAAAATAACGTAATAGTAGTGTATAAACTATACTTTAACATACATAAATCAGAAATTACAAAAA